AGTATGATTTAAAGAAACAGATACAGCATTGTTATATGATTTATATATTGCCAACCCAACCATTAGATTATATTCCTAACATTCCCCCTTTTGGGTAGGACAATATATACATCTTAAAATCTTAATCCGTATTCCTCGCAAAAACCTTTATGCTTTATATTACCTTGGGCTATAACTAGGTTCTTACAGCCAGATTCAGATTGGAAATCTGCTTAGTAATGTGTCTATTTTATTTCAAATTGGTAGATAAGGCTAATTTACTGCATTTTTAATATTTAAAACTACACCTATATAATTCTCTTAATATGTTAAAAATCTAGTATACATTTTCAGATATGGTTTTCTGCCGTAAGTCTTGGCAGCATACTATATTTTTCGGAGTATAAGACGCACCTTTCCCCCACCCCCCAATAAAAGAGCGTGGAAATATTGGTGCATCTTAATACACTGAATACAGCCATTTTTGGCCTCCCGAAGTTCCATACCTACACCCCATTTTTGAAAAAAGCAGGATGTTTTTTTGGAAAAACGGGCATTTTCCCCTTCCCCAGTCCCCAGAAGCACTCTGCAGGCTTCAGCAGGGTTGGGGGGGAAGGCAAAAATGCCCCCGTTTTTGCAAAAAAATGACCCATTTTCCATCTTTTTTTTGCAAAAAAGGGGGCATTTTTGCCTTCCCCCAGCCTGCTGAAGCCTGCAGAGTGCTCCTCAGAGCCAGGAAGGACAAAAACTTTTTTTCTTACTTACCTCTTTGAAATCTTGGTGCATCTTATACACCGGTGTGTCTTATAGTCCAAAAAATATGGTCCTTTTTTTCTCCCAGTGCAAGTGAGAATAATTCATGAAATTTAAAGTGTACCCAATCTAGGTTGTGTACATAGGTGTTTTTGGTATTCCCCTATGTGGGGGATTGAACTCCATGTGCAATTTCTGCAATAATTCTTTATGTCTATAAAGTTTATTTCTAAAGGAATGTAGCATTTACCATAAATGAGTCACAAATCCCTGTTTTCATCCATGTTTCTATAAATGGCCATCTAGCCTAATAATGGCCAATTCTTTTCTGTTAAAAGATAATCTCTGATTCTGGAGTAATATCAGAGATGCTACCACCAAATGGCTGCCATCAAATGGGGGTCTCATTCACATCAAAGACTAAGGCTAAGGGGTGGTGGACAATCTTCAGGGCTCAAGTATGTTGAGAAATAGACTTGGTCTTGATATGTTTTCATTGGCCAAGGGAGAATTTTGATTCTGGGTCATATGTATATTTCAATATTTTTATGCATTACTTACTTGCTACAAGTGAATGGGTTGTAGTTTAAGGAGCAGGTATATGAAGATGTAAATAAATGTTTCAAATGAGGGAATCATTTGAAATCTATCTTAATTGTTTGTGAAAAGCTAAAGGCAATGATTTGATGATTATTTCAGGTTGTGGGAATGCAATATCACTCCAGGTGGTTGTAAGGAACTTGCCACAGTCATTGGTACCAAAGAGACACTCAAGGATATGAGCTTGCTGGGAAATCCTGTGAAAAACGAAGGAGTAGACTTTTTATGTGAAGGGCTGAAGAATCCAGCAACAAAACTCCAATCTCTATGGTTAGTGCATGTTTTCTTTTTGTTGCAATCAGCAATGCTGCTGAACAGGATTTGTCTAGAATGGAGGGACAACGTAGCTTCAAGGGATTGCTTAAATGACATTCCTGCCAAGCTTTTGATTCCAAGAATTTGTAAGGTAGCCCATCCCCAGCAAATATATCCTTGCTGTGAAGAGGAAGCTCTTTAAACCTCCCTTAATTTTCTGAGCATATCTTCGCTTTCCTGTTATTTGCCATTTTTACCACTGAAGCCCTATGGCCAAGTGAATATGAAAAAGAGAGTTCTGCTGAAGCAAGGAAAGAATCGGGTGCATAAACAGAACTAGAGTTGCTGGGTCTTCAGCATGTTGTTCCATATAGTCCAGAACAAAACTAACTGCTAATGCTAATTTGGCAGAAGAGAAAACAAACAAAATCTGGGGAAAGACTTGTTGCGTTGCACAACCCCAGCATTGTAAGAGATGCACTTATTTCTCTGCTACAGGTTAAGAGATTGTGGCTTGACTGAAGCTTGCTGCAAGAGTCTTAGCTCTGCCTTGAGCGTGAACGTTGTCCTTAAAGAGCTGCAACTGGGTGGCAACTCCATTAGAGATGCAGGAGTGATTGAAATCTGTAACGGTATCAGGAGCTCAAAGTGCAACCTTGAATCCCTCTGGTGAGTGACAGTGTAAACTTTTCTTATCCTTTCTGTATACTGCTTTATGTGGGATTCTTCTAACCCTGTTTTTCAAACTTGGCAACTTTAAGTTGTATGGACTTCAACTCTCAATTCCTGAGACAACATACTGGGTGGGAAATTTTGGGAGTTGATGTCTATACATCTTAAAATTGCCCAACAACATGAATAGCCTTCGGGTGTATTTGTTCAGGTGATAGCTTCCTATGAAAAGTTGGCCTATACTAAAGCATTAGGATTCTTTTAGTAAAAAGGGGGCTTATACTCAAAATCAGAATGAATAAAAAGAAATAGCACAGGGCATTAGATTTTGGTATCATTTTAAATGCCTGATCTTCATCAGGTTCCCATGACTCTCACACTCTGTCATAATCCCACAGTTTTAAGGACTAGACAATTATCATTGAAGGTGCAGGATATCAGATTATGTAGTTTAGTAATTGCATTTGGGGGTGTGGGTGATATATAAATCTATTCAACTGTGTTGTATATACTAATTGCTATTTTTTTAGATACGTTAGCCAATTTGGGTGCCTTTAAAAAAAAGCATAACCTTATTTAGGCAAATATAGGGTAGAGATTGTTTCTAAAGGTAGATGTGACAATCACAGTTGTCTTTACCAAAGCAAAACCGATATACAGTAGAACCTCTGGTCACGACCATAATTTGTTCCATAACTTTGGTCGTAAACCGATTTGCATGTGACCCAAACTTAATTTTGGAAATTTGGTGCTTAGAAAAAAAATTGTGCAAAAGGGAAAATCGGCTGTAAAAAAAAAAGTGAATTTTTTGGTCAGAACCCGATTTGGTCATGGTCAGAAGCGTTCGTGACCAAAGGTTCTACTGTATGCCACAAACCTTTGGGGAACTCAAATGGTTTCACTGATTTTGTGCTGACTGAAGTTTATTTAAGGGTATTGGCCACAGTATTTAAGTATATCAGCTACTTTTTAAGCCCTCCTCTCCTTCCCCCCCAGGAGTTTATTGAAGATTAACTAACACATAACAGGTAGTCCTCAACTTACAACTAGTTCATTTAGTGACTGTTCAAAGTTACACTGGCACTGGAAAAAGTGACTTATGGCTGTTTTTCGAACCTACAACCATTTCAGCATCAGTGATCAAAATTCAGACACTTGACAACTAGTTCATTGATGATGGTTGCAGTTTCCTGGGGTCATGTAAATGCCTTTTGCAGTTTTCAATGGGGCAGCTAAATACACTTAACAACCATGTTACTAACAATATAACTTCTGGCAGTATCTTGAAAAACTAAACGCTTACTGTTCCCTGAAATCAATGAAACATTTTTGAGGGTTGGAACAGTTGCTGTTTGCAAATAGAGGCTATAGATAGGAACTGCCCTAACTCTGTAGCTGGAGCTAAGTGTTTGTTTGGTTTCTTTTCATTGTTCCAGTTTTCTTTTAAATGTTATTTGGTGTTATTCCGACTTCTTCCTAGGGTGGGGATGTCGAGTGTTACAGCAGTTTGCTGTGATGCACTTGCCAAACTTATCGTTGAGAAACCTTCTCTACGAGAACTGGATGTGAGCTACAGCCAAATCGGGGATGAGGGTGTGCTGAAGTTGTGTGAAGCAGTGAAAGATCCAAACTGTAACCTGAAATATCTGATGTAAGTATCTCTTGGTTAGCGTGTAAGAACGAGGGTCAAGGGGTCGTTTAAGAGTATTTCTAGAAAAATGGAAAGGATTCAGTCTATAATTGTGTTCCGGTTAAAAACTACATACAGTTTTAATAGAGCTTCCTAAACTGCTCTCCGCCAATTGCCTTTGTTATATTTGCAGTCAGTCTGTAATTATTTCCAGGATGATCAATCACCACTTTAAATATTTCAGAAGCTTTTAATTGAGTGCCTAATGATTGACTGAGTTGGGCATGTTTTTCTTGAGTAGCCTTGCTCCAAGTCATTCAGGATTCTTCAAATGCTCTTGATGTTCCTTCAAAACGATTTGCCCTCAAATGTGTCATCTTTAGAAACACTGTTCTGGTTGATTGAATCTTAATGTTAGAAAGAGCGTTAGCTGAATGCCTGCCTTTGGGGTAGCCAGAACATCTCCCTCTATGGGAAGTAACCTCACTCGTGGAAATGAGATTTTATGTGTTTTATTGTATTATTAGAGATGTGATTACCAACTTTGAGTGGTTCTATCCTTGTCTGATGTTTCTCATCTGTAATCTATAGTATTAATAGCCTGAATGAAATTCTTTTTGCAGCTTGTATGACACTTATTGGACTTCTGAAGCAGACAAGGTGAAGGTGAAGGAGCTGGGAAAAGTGAGGACTGACTTTCAAGTGGTTACATGAGTGGGGAAACTTTGCTGGGACCGTTTCTTGTCTTCTGTTGATCTTTGTTGTATAAACCAAGTTACTAGCCCAGTGATTTTTTTTTTTTAATTTCAGAGTTATGGGCATGATGTAATGTACCCAAAAATTCCATTCCATGTTAGGAATATGATAAAATGCTGAGGTAGTTCTGGAGAAAGCTTTTAGTTCTATATCAAATTATAATATATATGTAAAACCAGGTTGGTGGGCTTTTTACCATTGGGGGAAAAAGGAGAAAAGAAGAGTAGAACAAAGTAAAATAAATCTCTGGCCCACTATCATAAAGCAATAATGTAGATTGTGTTTTTTTTTCCCAGGGTAGGAAATAGAATTGTTTAGATAAGATTAATTCACAACATTGCTCACTTTGATAATCAACAAAATGCAGTTATATCCTATTTTCTGCTGACAGTATAAATGATCTTCTCTCTCTCAGCCTATGTAGCTTTATTAAAAAATAAAGTTTGTTTGCAAAGATATATTTAGGATTTTGTCTTTTGTTGAAAGAGACACTAAACATTGACATTAATTTATTTTTATATATTCATGGATCAATACAATTTTTATGTTACTACATTATTTTTTTAAAGCCTGTACAATGCAAATGCTTTGCTTTTTTCTTCCCTTCCTAATTTTAATTAACCATAATGCGTACCTATCTGGTGAAACATCCTATGCTAATTACTTACATTGAATATTGTCTCTGAGAAAATAGAGAGTTTAAGTGATGGGCAATGTGGTGGATGCGTTTCTGTTCTTATTCAAATATGGTATTCCGGTGCAGTAGATAACTAATTATGTTAAACTTCAGTATGCCTTCCTAAGTTTATTATGTTTGATATACTATTCACATTTATTGGTACCATTTAATAATTGCATTTTTCTTTCAGTAGCTTTTGAATTATTGTTGGAACAATTTAAGAAACACCCCTGTATTGTGGTTACCTATGACTTCAGTATTTAGCTGTTGCCATCTAGGCTTGATAGGTTGCAGAAGATTATAGGGAATGGACTTCAAAGATCATTCAGAAACATTTGGTGGAACAAACTGGAGCTGTTTGTCTGATAGGGACTAGAAATGGAGCAAGCAAGTTTCATCCTGAAGCTTTTGCAGGCTTACACATACCTTGTCAAAACACAAGTCCAGATTGTTACAACCCTGACCTGTGTGATCTGTGGTATTATTTTAGGGGTGCATAACAAACTACCTGCTTTACTTCACTTAAACTAGAACTGAGGCATATGGACTATAGGCAGTCATCTTTACTAATCTTGATTTTTACCAAATTGGCCGCCTAGTTGTAGATTCAGTTTGGAAACAATGTATAAAGCCTTACTAAGAGCACACCTAGAATACCACATCCAGTTTTGGTCACTACACTACAAAAAAGATATTGAGATGCTAGAAAAAGTGCAGAGAAGAGCAACCAAGATGATTAGGGGACTGGAGATTAAAACATATGAAGAAAAGTTACAGGAACTGGGCATGGTTAGTCTAGTGAATAGTAGGACCCGGGGAGACATGATAGCAATGTTCCAATATTTGAGGGGCTGCCACAGAGAGGGAGGGGGTGAAGCTATGTTCCAAGGCACCTGAAGGGCAGAAAAGGAATAATAGATGGAAACTGATCAAGGAGAGATTCAACCTAGAAATAAGGAGACATTTTCTGACAACAATAAACCAAAGGAACAGCTTGCTTTCAGACATTGTGGGAGCTTTATCACTGGAAGCTTTCAAAAAGAGACGACTACCATTTGTCAGAAATGGTGTAGGGTCTCCTGCTTGGGCGACGGGTTGGACTAGAAGACCTACAACATCCCTTCCAACTATGTTAATCTGTTAATAATTAAACTCGGGTATCCAGGAGTGATCTTATGAAGTCCACTTCAAACAATTCACCAGTGTTGTGAAAATATCTGTGTATTAACACAACACATAAAACAGAACATATAGACATACCAAATGACCAACATACTTGAGCAAGATTCAAAATTATTGTCCTCTACTTAAAAGTTCTTAGAGCCAATATTTTCAGTGTCCAGGAAAATGCTAAACTGTAATACCCCACTAGGACAATCAACAGGTAGATGTGCGAAGGATTCTTGAAACAATCACTAACTTGTTTTAAAAGAGAAAGAGAGGAAGGGGGCGAGCTAAGCATATTTTCAGTTTGTTCCTTAGACAGTTTTTTCATCTCCATCAAATTCTCCATCTGCAGAATATTTAGGTGTGTTTACAGAAGTAGTTTCCAAAATAGTTAAAAGCAAAAAGCAAATAAGCTGTAATGTTGCCATGTTTTTCCCTTATAATTAAGTCATCAAAGCACTTTGTTCTGTTCCTTAGCTCTCTTGTTACCCCCACTTGAGAAAAATGGCTTGCCAGGAGGAAGTTGAAAGAAGTTTGTTCTATCAGCCCATAGAAAGTAAAGTGCAAATAAGGCTGCATCAGGTTTCCAGTGACCATTCTAAAAATGTGCGTCATCATTCATGACTCATCTCCCTCAAAGTAACAGCTCAATTTGCATATTAAATCAGAATAGAATGAGCTAGAAGGGACCTTGGAGGTCTTCTAGTCCAGCCCTCTGCTCAAGCAGCAGAACCTTTACCATTTCAGATAAGTGGCTGTCTAGATCAGGGATCCTCAAACTTTTCGAACGGGGCCAATTCACGGTCCCTCACACTGTTTTTTTGGGGGGGCTGGACTGGCTGGGTGGGTATGGCTTGGTGGTCATGTGACTGGGTGGGCGTGGCCAAATTAGCAGTCCATTTTGCCTTTGTCCTTGCTGTACTTGCTCAACTCAAAGGAAAAAGAGCGCTAACTTTCTTGCCACTTGCCTAACTTTATTAAAACAGCAGCTTCAGGCTCTTTAAAACAGGCCATTAAAGAATAAAACAAAAAGGATTTCCTTCAAAATAACTCCTGATCATATGTTTCAGATGATCACACAATAAACCAGACTGAGAACTGCAGTCAATTAAGACTGCAACTAAAAACCCCAAGGTAGGCATTGAGAGACATTGGAAGCAGGCAGAAGGTGGTGAGAATATATACACACACACACACACACACACACACACACACTCACTCTCTCTCTCTCCCCCTCCCTCCCTCTCCCTCTCTCCCTCTCTCCAATGGTGAATTAAGGAGGGATAATGGTCCCTCAGACTGTTGGGAGCTGGATTATAGTTTGAAACAAAATGTACAAATCTCTATGAACAATGCACATAGCTTCATTTGTAGTGCAAAAAAACATGAATACAATATTTTAAAATGAAAAACAATTTTAACCAACATAAATAGACTACTAATTCAATGGGAAGTGTGGGCCTCCTAATTTGGGATTACAGAGCTAAAAGTCTTTTAAGCCTGGAGAATTCACAAAACTGATTTGCTTTTTGCTACACTTGTGCGTGTGTATATACACACATGAATATCTACCAAAATTGTTCAGCAACCAATTTGGTGGATGTACTTTATATATGGGAAGAATCAAAGCAGTGGGTGAATTCTCCTGCAGGCATTATACTACGGTTGCATTTGAATTAGTGTTAGCCAATTTCAGCTGATTTTGAAAAAGCTAGGAGATGTGGAGACAAGTCCTCCACACACCCACTTTTAAAGCGCTACTTTAAAAGCAGCCCCTTCCCTACTCACCCATCGGCCCTGGATCACATGGCTGTGAAAAAATCTGAAAGAGTGTTTTTAAAGGACTTTCAAAGACTTTTAAAGACACTACTTTACAAACTGACAGCTGCTTTTCATCCCACGGGCCGGATACTTTTCATTGGCGGTCCGTATCCGGCCAGTGGGCCATAGTTTGAGGATGCCTGGTCTAGAGTCTAGACTCTTCTTAAAAACCTCCAGTGATGGAACGCCCACAATTTCTAGAGACAACCTGTCTCTAATTGTCTTCACTGTTAGGAAGCTTTTCTTTAATTCCAGGTTGCTTTCTCTCTTTGATTAGTTTCCAACTATTGTTTCTTGTCCTGCCCTCTGGTGTTTTGGAGAATATTTTTTTAAAATGTTTAATTACAGTCATTATTCTACTTTAAACATTCTGCATGTCTCATCCATGCCTCGGCATTCCCATCATAGTATCATGGGAACTCTGATAATTGTAGTCTATGATAGTTGTAGTCTATCATAGTATAGTAGGGAACTAAGTTCTGCTGTAGTCCAACCTTTTTTGGAGAGTAGCAGGTTGAAAAAGTCTGTTTCCGTTTGTGTCTTTGGGGAGATAGATAGTTAACTGGATTTCCTAGGCTTCTTTATCTCCAGACAGTACTGGAGCAGCTCCAATCAGCTTCTCCAATCCCAAAAGTAAAGTTCAATTGTTCGGTTTTGTGGAGTGAGCAAACCTGTGTCAGAATACATTAGTTGAACATTAGCTATGTTTCTGTGTTGATCAAGTAGCAAAGGTTGAGGGGCTACATAAGACCAAGAAAAAAGTTTTCTTTTCATTTCTTAATAAGGTAGTGGGGTCAATTTCTCCAGATGTTGACTATGAGCCATAGAAGAAGGTTTGGCCCTGTGAAAACTCTGGTCTGCATTTTCCTCAGGGAAATGGAGGGAAAAGGTGGTACATTTTTCCACTTCAGTAATTGAAACCTAGTCAGTTATTATGAGACAGAGCTTGTTTTTCTGCTGCAATGTGCCAATTCTCAATTTGCTACAAGATTTGTGCTGCCATTTAAAAAAAAAACTAAAATACCTCAAAGGCTGACTTTTTTTCCCCCAGCAATGTTTTAAAAAGTTACCAGAATTAAAATATCTGGTAAAATCTGTCTGGGTAAGTACCGAAAGACTGACCACGTTCTTGTGGTGCTTGGTACTTGTCAAGATTTCCAAGAAGAATGTGTGTGTAAAAAGTACCCAACATTTTGCCCTGCTGTATGGGAAATTCAGCAAGCTTTGGAAAGGCACATATCAGAGGAAGAGTTTGGAGAGCAACATATCCCTTAATTTAAGAACTATATTTCAAGGATTTACCAATAAGACAGAATAACGACACTTCTTGGAAAGACAAATTGAGTTCTCTCTCTCTTTTTTAATGGTTTATGTGTTTTCACTACATACAATAAGTGCTTAGTGAACAGGTACTGTCTGGGTCAATTTGCTTACATAATAGCACTTTTTCAGTTCCTAGTTCCTACCTCTATTACCCAACCATTGATTAAACAAGTCCCAAGTTCTAAAATATTCCGTGTCTTCTTTTTCTTTTATCTTCAGTGTTACTTGAGTCCTCATTTTTCTGAACATGTGATGGACATGTGGGTGCTGGAGCAGGGTCTTGAACTTTCAACAGGTTGGGAGAAACCTGGAAGCTTTCAGATTCAGGTTTTCCCAGATGTGCCAACATGGCTTCTCTAATAAATTTGAACTATGAGGAATCTCTAACCTCAGATTCTTATTTGATT